AGTAGCTTATATGCTAGTAACCTTATCCACAAACATTCTAAGTTTACAATAGTTGTAGCAAAAATTGTTATAGTAATGGCCAAAATTACAACATTAGTGGCAAATTTACGATAGTAGTTGATAAAATTACCATAGTAGTAGACAAAATTACAATATCAATGAGAATTTAAAATAGTAGTAAAAAATTTATAACAGTAATGAACAAAATTACAACAGTAGTGAAAACATTTACAACAGTAGTGGTTAAATTTATCACAATAGTGGACAAAATTACAACATCAGTAGAAAATTTACAATAGTAATGGGTAAAATTACTAAATTAGTGAGTAAATTTTAACCATTATAGTGGTAAAAGTATGATTGACACATTTAATCACAATTGTCGTAAATATGACACTAGTGCATCCCACTGATGTAGTATATTTACCTTGAAGTTTGTATTATTATTCACAATTATCGTAATATTTACCAAAATGAAAGTAAAACTTGTATATATACTAATAACTTTATCCACAATCATTCGAAGTTAAACCTAATCTTATATACTAGTAATCTTATCCATCATAATTGTATTTAAACCTGAATTATAGTAAATATTTCCTTTAATGTCATAACCTTTCCCCAATTGTGGTAAATTTATTCACCATAGCTTTAACTTAACATCTTTTTATCATAAATTTACCCTTAATCCTCATAATGTTACGTAGAATTGTCATAATGTTAATGAAAATAGTAGTAAATTAACCTCTAAATTTATAAATTTATCCACAATTGTTGTAAAATGACCCTCAACGGTGGTAAATCTAAACTTAATTGTGGTAAATTACCGACAATTTTGCTAAATCTCACTTCAGTAACCTTGCGATTGATCATAGACATATGTGATTGATCCCAAACTTACCTTTTTTCAGTAAGTTATCAAATTTGGATTATAAAAACCGCTTTTGGGGGAGACTACTGCAACATTGCAATAGATCCCAAGCTGTTGGGATAGATCGCAAACATTTTGGAGAAAAAAAATTAATAATACTTTTAAATTTGTATTATTAACCACAGTTATCATAATATTAACCAAAATAAAAGTAAACATGACCTATGTACTAGCAAATTTATCCATAACACATTCTAAGTTAATCCTAAACTATAATAAATTTACTCTTAATCATCATAAACTTACCCCACATGTGTCATAGATATTACCAAAACAGTCGTAAATGGTCCTCTAAAATTGTAAATATGTCCACAAATTTAGTACGCTTACCCACAACTGTGATAAATTTGCCCTTAATTGTGGTAAACTGACCATCACATGCAATAAATCTATCCTTAATTGTGGTAAACTGCCCACGATTTTGATAATTCTTACCACAACAATGATAATATTCAACATCGTGTTAATATTATCCAAAATGTTTGTGATTGGTCACCACTCTCTAGGTTTTAGGAAAACTCACTGCTGTCAACTTGCGATCGATCATTGACGTTTGTGATCGATTCCAAACTTACCCTTTTCAATAGGATTAGTTGTACATAACCAAATTTGGATGAGGAAACCACATTTGTTAATTTTATGTTAATTTAATGAATGTGAATGTTAATTTGATAAATTAAAATGTTAATAGAATATTAATTTGAGAAATTGAATGTCAATTTGGTGTTAGTTTTATGAAATTAATATTGATTTGCATGAAATTGAATATTAATATTGATATTAATTTGATGAATTCAATGTCAACTATTTGAATTTTAATGTTAATCTGATGTTAATTTGATAAATTTAATATTAACCAGTTGAATTTGAATATTAATTTGTTGAATTAAATGTTACTTTTTAATTTGATTAATTGGATGTTAATTTATTATTAATTTGATAAATTGAATGTTAATTGAATAAAATTGGATATTAATTGGATGAATTGAATGCCAATTAAATGAATTTGGATGTTAATTGTATGTCAATTTGATGAATTAAATGTTAATTTGGTGTTGATTTGATGAATTTAATGTCTATTGGATGATTTTTAATGTTAATTTAATAAATTGAATGCTAAGTTGATGATAAATTAGGTGTTAATTTGATGATTTGAACATTAATTGAATAAAATTGAATGTTAATTTGGTAGAATTAAATTGTAAATTGGTGAAATTAAATGTCATTTTGATAAAATTAAAGATCAATTTGATATTAATGATTTGATTAAAAAGACTTTAAATTGGTGACATTTAATGCAAGAAACAAAATTGAAGATTAATTGCCAAAAAAATTAAGTCAATGATACTTGTGATCAATCTCAAATATTCTTTTAACATTTTATAGTATAATCTAAACCTTTGCGATATATCCTAATCTATTGGGATAAATCACAAAAAAAATGTAGTACTATGATTGATCGCAAAAACATAGGATCGATCGTAATTTTTCTTCTTAGAACAAACAATTATCATGAAATACAATGATCTATCATTTCACTCTATGATCGATCACAATCTTTGAGGTCAACATATCCCAAGTTCTTTTTGTGGGAGACTACTGTAACCTCGTGATAGATCCCAAGCTTTTGGGATAGATCGCAAACATTTTGGAGATAAATAATATTAATAATTTCATCATATTCTAAATAGTGCTAGCAAAAAGGTTGTAACATTCGAATTCATCTAATTAACATTTTATTTTACCAAATTAACACTGAATTAAAATACAATTTTATCAAATTAACATCAAATTCACCTTCAATTGAATTTATTAAAATTCAATTTCATCAAATTAACACCAAGATTATAGTCAATTTTACCAAACTTTATCAAATTAACATAAAAATTCATGAGATTAACGTTCAATTTTATTGAATTGAAATCCAATTAATCAAATCAACACTAAATTAACATTCGATTGCATCTATTCAAAATTCAATTTCATCAAATTAACATCAAATTTACCTTCAATTTTATTTATTAAAATCCAATTTTATCGAATTAACACAAAATTGATTGTTCAATTTTTTTTATCAAATTAACATTAAACTGGTTGAATTTTTTAATCACTTTTGGGGGAAAACTATTGTAACATTGCAATAGTGTAACGCCCCAATTTCTCTTCTTTTTGGAGACGTTAATTGATATAAAAACACCCAAATAAAAATAATAGAGCATTAATTGTCCCAATAAAATTTCATTTATAAAAATTATTTTCTAATACAAATAAATCTGTCAATATAAATAAATCTTCTAATACGATTAAAACATCAATTATATCGACATCTTCTCGTCTTTAATACTTTGATTATTTCGTTTCAATATTTTTCTCTAAAATCAACCTGAAAATATTAAATAAAACAGAAAAGTATACAATATGACGAGGAAAAATATACAACAATAATGAGCAAAATTATTAAAGTAGTAGCCACCTACACTTGATTACCTCTCTGTTGCCAGATCCCTTGATGCCTTATCCAGCTTGATTGACCTCGAAAAAAGGCATGAAAAAGTAGCAGCCACGTACACATATCCAAAAGGCGCAACATAAAAAAAAAGAGAAGTGCGAAAATAAAAATTTGAAAAGGAGGAAGGATTAACATAGCAAAGCCCTCAATTGTAGTATCAATGATGCCCTATGGACCCCGAGAGCCAACCTCTCTGATATTCGCAGTCGTCACAAACCTCCAAAGCTGCTCCTTGGCTAGATTCACATCCCGTAGCATAGACACTGAGCCACAGCTAGAAGTCGGATGACTACGTGGAGCTCCGAACCTGACAGACGGTTGCATATGAGTCTCAACCCCCGAAGTAGTGGCCGGACTAACCCCAACACTCGAAGAAGTTTTGTGCTAAAAAAGAGTGGGGGCACCCTCTGATCTAGCCTCTTGGAATATAGCATGGCCATTGGACCACCGTGAGACACTAGGGGCATCAACCTTCGCCCGCTTGAGAGGAGGGGAATATGCCACCGTGGAAGCAAATAAAGCCTCCACCATCGCTCTATCAACAGTGGGACTTGTGAAACTAATATAAAACGAATAATCTACAGTATTACAATCATCAAATTTTATTGGAAGGATCAATTACCCTTCTTCTTCTTCCTAGGGGAGGCTCTGGGATGACCCGCCGCGGACATGAGGGTCGTAAACTCCTTGATAGGATGATCCTGCATGCCCTGGAGCCTACTCTCCTCCTCCATAGATAACGTGGGTGAAGTAGCCAAAGGAACCAAACATTCAGTGAATACAAGGGGCATGATAGTCAACATAAAAGCAAAGGTAAAACCCTTACCTAGCTTGGTCCTCGGAGTAGTGTCCCAGCTCAAAGGCACTAAGTTACCATCTTCCTTAGTAGCCCACGACTCACCTACAACAAAGAAAAGCCTAAATTTTCAACTATGGCAATTCGAAGTTAGTCTATTAATAAACTTGCCCCACCTTGGGACAAAACGGTACCTCCAACCGCAATTCCAAGGCAGTCTAGCAATTCATGCTCCTCAAAAGGGGGAGAAACGTCCTCGACATGCACTAGCCGGCATAGTGAAAAGAATGACGGAATTAACCTCCAACCATTGGGAGTCAACCTCCCCGAAGCCAGTGATAAGTGACTCAGAATCCGAAAGATAAGCCTAGGTATAAGAAATTTCAATACGGCCTCCAAGACATCCTCGAAGAAGACGATCTCTCTTGAGGATTCATAACACAAGGGCTCATCTCTCTTGGCTCGGTGATACATAATAGCAGGAAGGATATGGAACAAAGAAACAATGCGGGCGATATCATCGTCGCAGTCAATTAAACTAAAAATAGAGGACACCTTCGACCCATCGCCTTTACAAGCTCCTTTGCCTTGGTGCGAAGCCTGTGTAATATCTGTCATACTTCCCTTACTAGCTCGGGCACTTGACAAGACAGAATCTAATAAAAAGGGAAGGAGAGCCTGGATTAACAAAAGGTTATGAATGAGATTAAGTTAACTAGTCGAAAGGTGTTACCTTGTTTCCCTACATAGTCTGATCCATTACCTCAAGTGCCAGCCACTCCATCGAATGGTGCCTCAATGCCTATCTTTATTCTCTCAGCACCTAGACCCCTTGTTCCTACACCCAGCATGTCGTGAGGACCATCGCCAAACCCATCGCGAGGACTAGTACCCATTGCATCGCTGGTGCTGTCCACACCACTATTGCTGCCTAACCCGCCGCTGGCATCGCCCGTGCTCCTCCCTACTTCAACATCGTCGTTCACGCCCAGGGTGTCGCCCAACTCCCTTATGCCTGTACCTGGTGTCCTGCCTCTGCTCATGTAATTATCTGCATTGCCCAAGCCTGGGCGTCGCCCACCTGCGCCTTCATTGTCGCCACTCGAGCCATCGGTGTCGCCACTTGCTCCTTCAGCATCGCTTTTACTACCGTTGGCGTTACCAACTGCGGTGCCGTAGCCTATGCCCAACACTCCCACACCCCTTGTTGAGATGAAGGCGTCCCCAGGCACTGGGGTTGTCCGAATTTGATATTGACAAGTTACGTACAAATATACACAATCAACAAGTAATAAAGTGATGAGTAGAGTATCATTTCCCATGAAGAATTATTACTTATAACTTTCAAGTACTAACTTTATATCAATTTAATTTTATTTAAACAATTGGAATTGAACTATGAAATTACTAATTTAAAACTAAATCTAAAATTACTAAACAATGAGTGATTTTACCGGATAAAAGAATTTAAAATTACAACTTTCTCTAATGCTTTGTCTAAATCTTTTCACTTTCTTTCCAGTTAATTGATCAAAATAAGTTGTTAACTGAGAACTCAAAGTTATTTATCCAACCTTTTCCGATAGTTAGATAAAATTATCTCTCCCAATTAAATTACTATATTTCTATACAAAATAAGTTGGAATAGATTCATTAAGTTCAAACTCTTGTAAAAGTTATACACGACATATAAGTATATTCCTATCCTATACACAAACCCAACAATTTAATCCTAAGAAGAATTAATCAGACGCAAGTCATCATATTCAGATCTAAACCTAGAATTCATCTTCCAATTTCATTTAGGTTATAAAATTAATTGTTGGCCACACAATCATATATTAAGCACAAAATATGACAAACAACTCATGTATGATCAATAGAACTAGAAACGAGAGTAGATCAATTTAACTAAACATCAAGTTCCGTTGCAATCATAATAAGAATTTAGTTCATAATGTAATTGAAAAATTTCCTCATAAAATTAAACAACATCTCAGAAAATTAAGAAGTAAAAGTAAGAGAAAAAATGAAGACTTAGTTGCAATCTTCAATCCTTATCTAGCTTTCAAGTCCAATTTTCTTCGTGCCAATTCCTTCGATCCTTGTCTTCAATTTTATTTTAATCCTTGGTTTTTCCAATGTTAGCAACCCCCAAAATCAGTATATCTTAGTCTCAACTCAAACCCTAACATATATGTAGCATCAATTTCGGGTAAAAAAACAAGTCCAAATTCGCATCCAGAGCCCACACAACCGCAAAAGCGCTGAAAATCAGCGCAAGGGCGCTGGTCCCCTTTCAAGTCTAAAATTGCCCTTGTTGCTTAGTCTTTAAAAATCCAGCACTTAGGCTCCAAATTGGCATTGTTTCCTTTCAAATGATCATGTTTCCTTCCAAATAATCATCCCTACAAAATAACATCAAAACACACAAAACAAATAAAAAGGAACATAAAATAATTGAAAATTTGCAATTTTATCAAGCCGAAAATACTCAATTCGTAGGTATAAAACCCACTCATCAAATACCCCCAAACTTAAATCTTTGCTTGTCCTCAAGCAAAATACTAAGAACAAAAAACTATAAAAAATTAATCCGAACAACCGATTACTCAAACAATGGATCAATATGAATTTGAATAATGACCCCAAAAGTTACTACAAAAAAAAAATTCATGGAAAACTTCAAAACAGTGCAAAGTCTATCAATTCAGCATACTCCTTAATTTTACCTCCACTCATGACCCTTTAAATACATGTACATATCCGAACTATCAAACTAATCATCACCCAAATATATTTATGTAATCAAATGATTCATAGGAGATACTTAATATCAACTCTATTAACTTATGTTTCACATCAACCTCTGCTTATTAAAGCAACCATATAACTAGAAGGTCCAAAAAAATTTTTCCTCTCACTTTTTTTTTCTTTCTCTTTTTCATTCGTTTAGTGAGTGCATTTTATGCTCCATCTCACCTCCTATTGAGCGAATGCGTTTTATCCTCCATCTCGCCTTTTCTTGAATGAGTGCGTTTTATGCTCTATCTCGTTCTCAACAAGTGTTTATGAGTGAGTGCACTTTACGCTTCATCTCTACTCACCACATGTCCCTTTCTTGTTTTTTGTCTTCCTATATTTTTTTTTCTAACTCATGAAGGATAAAATCAAAATAATTTTCAAAAAATTCTTGTTCTCTTTTTTTTTTCTTTTATTCACTAACCCATCATAACCAATATTTTCCCAAACTTATATGAATACCTCAATTCGCTTTGAATGATGCTTAAATAAGTTTTCTAAAGTTTCAATGATATCTCCCACAAGCATTTAACCAAATAAAATTTTCAAATAATAACTAACCAAACAGATAGATATGTGCTCATAAATGAAAAGATCATAAACAGTGTAAAATCAACTAGTATATCAAACTACAGACTCAACATGTTCATCAATTTGCCTTGAATTAACAATTAATGTCATTCATCATTGGCTATAATCAAATTAAATCAACTCATTGCTCAAGTCTTCCTAAAACATGCTATTAAAGTGCAAAACATGCTATCCAAATGCATACCTAATAATGCAAATGCAAACAAGAAAACACTCTCAAACTTAAACTAAATATTGTCCTTAATGTATAAAGTAGAAAAAATTAGGACAGAGGACTTGCCTGAGACTTCGCTAGTTGGCATCGTCATCAGCGTCCTCGTCGTCCGCTGAATCGGGAGTGTATTTGGGAAACATGGGTGGGCTGTTCTTGGCTCCAAGTAAAGCTTTGTGTGTGCTCCAACTTTATGTTCAATCCTTGGGACCTGCAAGTAATTGACATACCAATTAAAATACACTAACTAACTAACTACATTATTTCTCATAAAAAACTAAATTAAAATAAAATGAAATAAAACTTAGAAACTAAAATTTGGGCTGCCTCCCAATTAGCGCTTGTTTTATAGTCTTCAGCCTGACTACGTCCTATTTTATCCCAAGTCGACATAGGTAGGTAATTAAGGTCTTTTCATGATCAATATCACTGCCCCAATATTGCTTCAGTCTTTACCCATTCACCTTGAGAGTTCTTTTCGAATTGACTTCCTTGACTTCAACCGTTCCATGCGGGGACACCTCCTCTTTATATAGCTTGGCGTTCTCAAGACGATCTGAAATACAACTTCCTACGAATACCCCATTCATTGCATCTTCCACCAAATCAACCCGAAAATATTCTTCTATTTCCTTTGAAAATTTCATAGCTGAAAATACATTGAATGTAACCTCTTGATCTTGGACTCGCATAGTTAGCTCACCTTTTTGTACATCGATAAGTGTTCTTCCCGTTACTAAGAATGGTCGCCCAAGAATAATAGGTATTTCTCCATTTTTCTTACAATCTAAGACTATGAAATCAACTAGAAAAATGAACTTATCCACTTTAACTAGAACATTCTCAACTATGCCCCTTGGATAAGTGAATGATCTATTCGCAAGCTGCAATGTAACATTAGTAGGCTTCAATTCCTTCAAACCTAATTGTTGATATATTGAGAATGATATTAAGTTAATATTAGCTCCCAAATCACATATTGCTTTCCCAAAAAACTGGCTTCCTATTGTGCATGGAATTGTGGAATTGTAAAGCTACCCGAATCTTTGAGCTTTGGTGGTAGCTTCTTTTGAAGAATAGTACTGCACTCTTTCGTAAGTTCTACAGTCTCAAAATCACCAAGTTTTCTCTTCCTTGACAGAATTTTCTTCATAAATTTCACATTGCTAGACATCTGCTCCAATGCATTTGCATTAATTTGAAGCTTCTTGAACACTTCCAAAAATTTGGAGAATTGTTTATCCAACTTTTGTTTCTGTAAAAGTTGTGGAAATGGCACGGGACATGCACTTGGATCCTCTTCTGCTTCTCATGTTCCACATTCTTGCTATCTTTTTTTTCATCTTTTTTATCCTCTCCAAGTGATTGTTTTGGAGTTTCACCAACAACTTCAGGTAACTCTCGTCCACTTTGTGATGTAATAGCTTTGCAATGCTTCTTAACTTCCCTCTTAGGATTGATCTCCGTATCACTAGGTAATGTGCATTGAGGTCGGTTGTTAATGGCATTAGCAAGTTGACCTATTTGATTTTTCAGGTTTCGAATTGATACTTCATGACTGTTCATCCTTGTCTCATTCAGTGCTATGTACATGGAAAACAGCTCCTCCAAATTCAACTTCTTTTCTTTCTAAGTATATACGATCAACAAGTAATAAAGTGATAAGTAAAGTATCGTTCCCACGAATAATTATTACTAATAACTTCAAAGCACTAACTTTATATCAATTCAATTTTATTTAAACAATTGGAATTGAACTAAACTAAATCTAAAATTACTAAATAATGAGTGATTTTACTAGATAAAAGAATTTAAGATTATAACTTCCCCTAATGTTTCGTATAAATCTTTCCACCCTCTTTCCAGTTAATTGATCAAAATAAGTTGTTAACTAAGAACTCAAAGTTAGTTATCAAACCTCTTCTGATAGTTACATAAAATTATCTCTCTCAATTAAATTACTATATTCCTATGCAAAATAAGTTAGAATAGATTCATTAAGTTTAAACTCTCATAAAAGTTACACACGACATATAGGTATATTCCTATCCTATACACAAACTCAAAAATTCAATCCTAAGAAGAATTAACAAGACACATGTCATCATATTCAGATCTAAACCTATAATTCATCTTCTAATTTTATCTAGGTTATCAAATTAATTGTTGACCACACAATCATATATTAAGCACAAAATATGACAAACAACTCATTTATGATCAATAGAACTTGAAACGAGAGTAAATCAATTTAATTAAACATCAGGTTCCGTTGCAATCTTAATAAGAATTTAGTTCATAATACAATTGAAAAAATTCGTCATAAAATTAAACAACATCTCATAAAATTAAGAAGTAAAAGTAAAAGAAAAGAATGAAAATTTAGTTGCAATCTTCAATCTTTCTCTAGCTTTCAAGTCCAATCTTCTTCGTGTCGATTCCTTTGATCCTTGTCTTTAATTTTCTTTTAATCCTTGGTTTTTTCAATGTAGCAGCCCCAAAATCAGTATATCTTAGTCTCAACTCAAACGTAGCATAAATGTAGCCTTAGAGTTCAATTTCGGGTAAAAAAACAAGTCCGAATTTGCGTCCAGAGCCAACACAAGAGCAGCAGCGCTGAAAATCAG